TGAGTAAGCAGGAGGCCTGTTTATCACCGAATGCAGTATTTCACAGCTGGAAAACTAAAAAGGCAAGAGCAGGCTTCCGTGATGTATAGCCATAGCTCTTCTGGCGGTGAATACAAATCCGTGGTGTCCCCTAACTGCAGGTGCTGGAGCACAAGCTGAAGACTACATGATGCAGCTTTCCATGTTGGTCCTATTCACCCCTCACCTAAACTGATGTGGATCCATTGATTTCAGCGAAGGTATTCCTGGTTTATACCAACAGAAAAGAGACACCCTGCCTTTGTTTTCCAGATGCAGTGCAATAGCCCATACTTATCTTGGAGAAAGTCTTGAATAGCATCCTGAAATTCTGACACTCTTAAAACTTAAAGCCCACTTCCAATATTTGGTTAACTATTAATTAAATATAATGAAAATTAAAGAATTGGTTTTCTTGAAAGTTTATTGTAGATGTGCTCAAAGTTGGGAGTCTTTTCCCACAAGCTGGAATTATCGAACAATTGAACAATCAAGTCTTCTGAAAATCAAATCTGCTGTTAGTATGTGTAAATACTATTAAGGGTCCTCGTGTTTTTCTGTGTTCTTTAAAATTAATGGGATCAACAAAAAGAACACCCGCCCCTCCCTGAGAATTAATGGCGGTGTTTGGAGAACTGCAAATTCCTCCACTGTTTCTGCTGCTATGACCTTTATTAATTTTTGATGTCCTAAATACTTCCCAATAAGGTGCAGATTCTTGGGTGGAGGATTTAAATCCAAAACCAATAAATTTGCTTTCCACATGTTGAAAGCACTGCATTAGATATATGGAGCAATAAAAATATCTTTAAAAGAATATAAACAAAAGTATTTTCAGTGCAAGCCAACGTTCAAAGTGCAGCGATGCTATACGTTTACCAGCCTGTTGATGGTATTTTAGACTCAAACCCAAAAACTGGCCTGAGAGAGACAGTGCTTTCGGGCTGCACGAAGTTTTGAAATCTCAGTGCTGAAATGTTTTCTGTCTGGTTTGGCTAGCTTTTCACCAGGTTGGACACTCCTCTTGAGTTCACTGACTTGCATCCAGAAATGTCATTAGCAAAAAAAGCTTAAGTGGATTCTCCCTAGGCCTGACTGGCCGCAAAGCTTGAGAAGTGGTCGCCTTCGCTTCCTGTGCCAGTGGCTTCAGCTAAAAGCCCATTCCCCTGTATCCGAAGGCATAGGGACAAAAATCTACCTAAAGTCAGATTGGTGAATATCTCTTGATTTTAAAATTGTTTTAACAAGTCAACCTGGTAGAGACCCTTCTCCCATGCACTCTCAACACTTGAATACATGTTGTAAGCTCAATCTATACTGACAAAACAAATAGCCTCTTAGAGTCCATTACAACCATTATGGCTACTTAGATTAAAGGAACGCAATAATATTTGTTTGTAAAGCTAATCAGTGTTGCAGTCCTTACTAATGTTTCCTAGGTAGTTGCTGTATTGGAGTGTTAATCACGGTTGTTCTGATTATCAGCAATTGTTTAAAAAAAAAACAACCAAACACTAAGCAAACACAATAAATACTCTCAAACCAAAGATGAAAGGGAAAAAGAGTAATGGTCATTATTCTATCATGTGTTAATATTCATCTTAAATTTTTGACAGACTGCTTGGATGATACCGTTTGTGTGGGGGTTTTCTGAAAACAAACCAAAAAAATATTTTCAAATAGCTTAAGTTTTTATTTGGAGCTGTAATACTTACTTAAAAGGCACTTTTCACCTCCAGAGTGCTGAGCCAGAGCACGGACCTGTGCTGATCACACCAGCGAAGGATCTGGCTTTGCTCCTGATTTCTGTGATGTGCTGAATACATGGTGGAGGACAGGACCCTGTTACTGCCTCCGCCACCAAACGCACCGCTGCCTTCAGGTAGCTGGATTTGGCCATGCCATTTTGACAGGCGGGGAACCTGGTGCAGGTGTGCCCAAGGCAGCAGAGGAAGTTGTGGCTAGTAGTGGGACTACAACCCAGGAAACTGGTTGTGGTTCAGAGATCGGAGCCCTAGCCACCATCCGTCTCAACACTGCAGTAGTGTGACCGCTGCAGACAAATCATCATGTTCTTCCTCACACCAGTCCTGGTGCTACAAAACACTTAATGTGTTATTAAGCAAAACATATTTCAAGCCCGTCGTTGATTCAGGGTGTGCAGGCTTACAAGCACCATGTCATTTATCTTCCTTGTAAGTGGGAAAAATTCCTGGACTCTGTTTTCTCTCCATAGAAACTACAGAATAGAAGCCAATGCAATTAATGAAAAGCGCTGGTGTCATGTGGGCAAGAGCAGGACACATATTCAGCCCTTTCTTCAGCCATTCAGTCTAATGGGAAATATGCCTGTGTGTGGACCGCATGACTGGGGCCAAAGACCGGATTTAATATATCCGCAGCCCAATAATTTCCCCGAGGGAACTGTCAATTACCAGCGTGAAACAGAAAAGATGCTGATTACCTGGGCCAAACTCTGCTCTTGTTTGTGTCAGAACAATGTCCCTGATTGCACTCGCTTCCGTGCGACTGCGGGTCAAGTCTGGCCCGGTGTCCTCAGTTCCCTGGGTTGTCTTTGAACCACGGGAACAACGCTTCGAGACGGCTACTTGGTCAATTGCTAATGGCAGGAAAATCCACAGTTCTTCTGACATTAAGGCATTGTAAATACTGAAAGAAAAGGAATCTGTGTTGTATTTTTCTGGCGTACAACGCCTAAAGCCTTATCTCTCATTCTGTCAGGAACCAAGAACTATGTATACAGATGGTGCAATTTATTATGTTCTGTACTGTGACCAAGTGCTGAAATACCTTCAGGAAATCACCAGAAAGCCAGAAAAGCTTTGCTGTCTCTTGTGACTCCAGCTCACTAAAACTATAATTGAATGAGCACAATATTTTAAGCACTGCATGTTACACAGTAGACTTACAGAAAAGGACGCCATCTTTTTCAGCATCGTTACAGAAAAAATATTTGCTGTACAGTTACTGCCTGTACCCAAGGTTGTAATGTCTGTCTGTCTATATTCTACCCCTACAAACCCACAAGACAGGGACAAATAAATGCCTCGGCTCAATGGGTCTCCCTCAACTCAGGTGTAACGCCATTAAATTCCACTATGCTGCTCTTATTTGTAAGACATTGCTGGCCCTTATAGTCCTGATATTTAAACCAGTGTCTGTTGGGACTGAAATGAATGGGGGTTGGTGTAACGGTGGTACGAAAAGAGAAT